TGTTTGAATCTTATAAAATGAGAGATGATACTACTTCACCTTCAGCACTAAAACTAGTGAATAATAAGAAAGAATTTCAAGTTAAAAAGATATTAAAAAAAAAGAAATATTGAGATAAAGAATAATACTATGTATATTAAAAGAGCTATGAATCTTTTGATGATACATAAGAATCTCTCGAAAATATTTAAGAGACTAAGATATTTGATATTTTTGAATAACAGAAATCACAGTGACAAGCACATCAGACTCACTCTAAGAAGTGTGCTAAGCATTAATTCTTCTTCATGTATGCACTCTTTTCATTACTTTTTTCTAAATGAGTTTTCTTTTTTAATATAATTTTAATGAGAGAAGCAAGATATTAAAAATTATCAAGTTTTCAAAAAAAATTTATTTCACTATTATCTGAATAAGTTAAAAGCTCAAATATATATCTCTAGTTCATTTTGATTTAATTTCTATTTACAATCATTATAGTTATCATATACTGCTCAGGAACAGCAATACTTTTCTTCTCAAGCTCAATACTTTTCTTCTCAATCAACTCAGAGTTTTTTATTTTATATATAACTTCTTTCTCTATATTCTCTCACTTCTTATTTTTAGAGAATACTATCAGTGTATCTGCAATCTCAATTCAATACTAAATATAATAAACAATATTAATCAAAGCAGTAGTATAAGCTTTCATTGAATAAATAATATAAGAGAAAGCTATTAACATTGCTATCGGATATAGTAGCTTGATTTAATAATATAAGATATTAACTGACTTCACTTACTTTGCAAAGAATAAAAACCTTTAAAGAACAAGAAGTTGACTCAATTTAGAAGAAAAAACAAGATAGAAAAAATAATTATCAGTTATTACAATGAGCAAAGAAGCTAAAAATACATTATATGTGAGGATACTAAAGTGGATAAACTAAGTGTCAAAAGGAAGCATAAGAAGCTCTATAACTAAGATCATAAGAGAATAGGTATATAGATAATATAAATGTTATAAAGAGAAGAAGATAGTAATGAATAAAATATATATATAGAATTGAATAGTAGCTAATCACTGAATCTCTCAAAGAAAGTTTGAAAATTTAGAATATTTATATACATAAATGAGTAGTAATAGATTTTATCTCTAATCTTTCATGAAATAAAATATTAGTAATGCAGTAATCTGAATCTTGATGAAATACTGATTCTATTTTTAAGAAAGTGCTAATGCTAAAGGACTGATTTTTGAAAAGTGCTGATCTGTGTTGATTCTGAATATTGAATTTTGAGATGATACTGATCTTTTAGTAGGTGCTGATCCTAAAGTGCTTTGATAAGCAGTGTGAAAATAAGTACTTTAGTAAGTGAGTGTGAGAACCTAGAGGATCTGATTCTAAAGTACTTTGATAAGCAGTATGATAAGCAATGTGAGGACAAGGAGCTAGTATAGAAAGTCTTGACATTATATCATACTTACTCAGATATATTATTTATGCACAAGATAACAAGGACCACAACACTTTTTACAGTGAAAATAATCATATATCACAGACAAATTACTCAGCTTGAGCAAGCATCATTTACAGAAGATATCTATAAAACAAAGTCAGTCATATAATCAATAATTATGAGCTATGATTTAATAGATTTGTCAAACTGTTATCACACATATGATGATATCAAACATATTAAAAACAGAAGAACTTACCCAAAGAATGTAGGAATTGATTTTATCATATTAATAAAGATAAAAAAGAAATGAAAAAAACTTCAGAATCAGAGATAGTAGCAACTGCAAGAAATCTATAATGATTCTAATTGTAAAATTGTAAAGAAAGAAAAGTTTAAAGAGTAAAAGATATCTTTTCTCTTTATTCTTATAGCAATAAATACTTTAATGACAATTATATCACATAATTAGTTCCTTAACATCAATAAATAAGTGCTATAAGTATTATCTTCTATATTAATAAATACCTCACAACTGCGCATATTCAAAAACAAATATCTTCTAGAGCTGCTGAGGTCAGTGTCTATGAAAGAGAGGACAATTGTGATATCAAGACTATTTATACTAGCTTCTTGCTCTTATACTACTTATCACATTACTTACTAAAGTATTTATCTTCATACTACTTATCAAAGTACTATAAAATCAGTATTATTTTAAAATTCAGTATTCATAATCAGTATAGATCAATACTTCTCAAAAATCAGTTCTTTAACATTAGCACTTTTTGAAGAATAGAATCAGTACTTCATAAAGATTCAGATTACTATATTATTAATTTCTCATTTCATGAAAATTAGAGATAAAATCTATTACTACTTATTTATGTATATAAATACTTCAAATTCTCAAAGTTTCTTCAAGAGATTTAGTGATTAGCTACTATTCAATTTTATATATACATTTCATTCATCACTATCCTCTTCCCTTCCTAATACTCACAGCACTTATACACTTACTCTATTACAATCTTAGTTATAGAGCTTCTGACACTTCCTTTTAACATTTAGTTCATTTATATTAGTGTTCTCACAAGCATTTAGATTCTACTATCTCTCTTTCAAAAGTTAGCAAAATGTGAACTTATAGATTTATTGAATATTTATTTGAGTATAAGAGAGTAAAACAGAAGTCAATAAATTCAAAGAGAGTAACAGTTGAATATATTGAATATATCAATATATGATTTAAATATCTTCAGATTCTATTTGAGCAGTATTAATTTCATACCTATGATATATACAACTTTGATGAGATTGAATTTCAAGGATAAAAATATGAAGAATGAGTTATAACTACTTTTAAAGAAGCTAATTTCATTAATTTTTTATTTTTTTTAAAATATTTGATTATAGTCATTAAATATATATCTATGAATAATCATATTATTCTATTATTCATAATCTTAGCCTTCAAAACATATTTAAAGAATTAATATATACAAATAAATTTACTCAGTAATTATAGAATTACTATATTAGATAATAAATTTATAAATAATGAGATTGAATTTGAATAACTTAAACATTTCAATACTGCTATAAAAAAGAGATAAAAGAAAAGTTATCAATTATTTTTAATGAATAATCATGAATCTCATATTATTAAAAAGTTCATACAATATACAGATCTTCATAAGATAATTCTATATAAATTTTTATCATATATCATTTATTTGCTACAATCTCTGAATAGTTTATTATTTCAATAATATAAATATTATTATTCAAAAGTAGTTAATTATATCACATATTATGATTTTGTTAAGTATGAAAAATAGTAGTTTCTATAAAATCTCTTAGCTATATAAAAGCAGACCTTTAAATCTGATACAATAACTGCAGAATGAGCTTAATGTGATATATATTCATGAAATTCTGACTGAGTTCTTGATGCTTTTAAGTAGCAAATCTCATCACCTCCTTTGCTGTAGATTTATGAAGATGAGAATAATTCAAATCATATATTTATTTATTTTTCTCAGCTATTCTTATCAAAGACAATTCAAAAGCTGAAATATTATATTAATATTATGAAAAATGTCATACAAAGTATTAAAGATACTCTTGAATTGAAATCACTCATCTTGATACATTGTTTGAACAAGATATTCAAAGTAAGTCTAATTTATGCAAAACTTAATAAGCAACAGATCACTGAATTAGAGAACTTTCTCAACATCAGTAAATATTACAGAGCTAAAACAATTTATTATCAGATTCAAGTAGAGAAAGTCCTCACTATTAAAGATGTTAATAGAAAAATCAAGCAGTGTAAGAACAATGAAGCTGAAAAAAAGCAGAATAAGAAGTGACAGAGACTTGAAGTTGATCTCATGAAAATTAACAATAACTCACTCACATCACTGACAGAAGAGGAATTAAATCAATTTAGAGATGACACACATACTGAGAATGATGTAGATAATCTTTTTATTATAGATTAGCTACTGGTTGTTGATATAGAGTGCAATAATGAGGATGTGATTCAAGATTTTTATCATTTTGGTGTGGTGCACCCACATGAGGTGTGGGTTGCGCAGCGGCATGATTAGTCCCCTGATGATAATTTCTTCACGGAAGTGAGTATTCAGATTACCTTTTCTGAGCATTCTCACACAAGCCAGTGTCATCGCTCATCAATTATTCGTTTCTTAGTTTCCGAGTATTTCGTGTCTTTTGTTACACTTTGAAGATAGGGATTTTCTCTCTGTACTGCACTCCGTAAGTATGGAACGAATGCAATGTCGGAGCTTGGGGTTGGGAGGACTAGAAATAGTAAACACCTTCAACTTAGAAAATGGACAAGATGTTGACGGAATATGTACCGTATATATTAAATTAGGGAAAAAAAAAGCAATCAAATTTATTTATTGTCTGGTCAATTGGAGTCCACGAATAAAAACGAAAAATAATGATAATACTTATTGCGCGCGCGGAGAAAAAAATAAAAAAAGAGCTAAGAGGGCAGATAAGCAGCAGATTTAAGGTCCTCAAAAAGGTATATGTTTCCTTTCCCTTTCCCGTTTTACTCCTTCACCGTTTCGGTGTACCATGCATCGCCATGCTGCGAAATCAAACTTGAACGAGAAAGAAGAAAGCAAAAAAGCGGGGAAAATAAGCAAGAATAATGTCTTGCAAAATGGACAAAAATGGAGGCGCAAAGGTGGGACAGGACAGGGAGAATATGCCACCGAAAATAGCGAAAAGTGCAAAAAGGGGACCCTAAATGGCGACTGAAGACCCAAGGGAAAAGAACGGTACGGTATGGTTTTCTATGATTCGGGTGGAAGAATTGTTGTTCGAGGGTGTTGATAATAAAAGTTTTAAGTATTAAAAAAACAAAAAGACAGAGAAACGAACGAACGAAAGGGGGTGTTTCAAACAAAAAAAAAAAAAAAAAAAAAAAAAAAAAAAAAAAGGGGGGATAGAGAAAGAGAAAAGAAAAGAAAAGAAAAAAAGAACGAGTAAAGGGAAAACGTGGCAAAGACGACCGCCTAAAGGCTCTCTTGAAGTTCTCGTATGGTCACATAGAGTTCTTTGGCTACATCGTCATTTCCGGTCTGCAGATAAACTTGAGTTAGAAGAAAAAGAACCAATAACAACAGCGAAAACAATGAAGGCGGAGAGATGAATGACATGACAGGACATACCCTAAACAAGAAAGGAACAGATTTTCCCTCCTCGAACCCGGCAAAATGCACCTGCTTCCCCGACGGCCGGGCGCCAGTCGGATCCCCTGCCTTCATGCCCTTGAAAACAGGAATGTTGAGAATAACGCGCCACACACCATCAGCGCGCATGAGCAGTCGGGCTGTTTTCTTTTTTACTGTTGTGTGGTTTTCACCTGCAGCCGCTCTTTCCCCTTCGCCTTCACCTTCTGCCTCTTCTTCGTCTTCTCCAGGTTCCTTTGAATCACTGTCGCTAGACCTTCTTCTAGCTGGCTCCCAGACGTTGACTTTGAAGAGGCCAACTCCGCGTTCCTTCCATTCTTTGCCGTCAAAATGGAATAACTTGCCGCGACATGAGAAGATGGTGTCCTCTCCTTCTTCGCCAGTTTCGGCTGGAATAGAGCAGTTAGCAAACTTGAATGGTTCACATGTACATAGATGGACGCATTCTTATGTGGATAGGAACGGTTGGAGAGGGAGTAGAATAAAAAAGGAGCGTAAAAGGAGGACAAAACTGCAACATACTTTGCTGTTCATGGAACCTCTCATCCCCCTTCTCTTCCTCCAGGCCTTCAAAAGCAGGCTTGCCCTCATCTCCCCCGTCGCCTTCCTCCTCGTCCTCCTCATCGTCAGAGCTAGCAGCTCCCAGAATTTTTGGTTTCGCAGTACTTCCCAAAGTCCCGGAGCTACCCGCAGGGGCTGCGAAACTCGTTAATCCCCCGCCGGGCCTTGGCGCAGCGGCTTCAAAACCACTAGCAAACGCACTTTTACCAAAACCAGCTACGCCGCCTCCAAACACACTAAATGGAGAGGCGCCGGCTGCAGCTGCGAAGGGGGAAGCTGCAAATGATGATGAAGAGGGGGCAGCTGTTCCTTTGCCTGCCATAGGTTCAACTGTGGACGCAGGTTTGAAGAGAGAAGTTGAGGTAGCAGAGGCTCCCAGGGTGCCGAATGGGGACCTCTCTGAGCCGGCAAAGGCTGCTAGTGCTGATGAGGCAAAGGCGGATGCGGAGGTGATGGGTGGTTTCTTCAATTTAGATTCATCTTTTGGTGTCGGTTCGGAGGTGGCAGATGGCTGGATCGACGCGAATGGGGACACAGCTGAAATATTCGAGAATGGGTTTGGTGGGGTAATCTGGGTATATAGATGTGAGAGTAAATACAAATTGCGAATGAGAAATTAATCAATATAGGGACATCAGGGGGGTGTTATATCAAACCTTTTTGGGAACTAAATCAGAATCAACCTGAGAGCTCCTATCTTGCGAATCGTCACGATGTCTCTTCTTCTCTGGTTCACCCTTTACTGTGCGATTGATTGGGGTGCCCTTGAATTTATCGACTGGCTCTCCATTGCTAGCCAATGTAGCCCCTTCCTCAGCCGTTTCGTCGACATTGTCTGACTTCACAAGGTCTGTGTCGAATTGATCTCGACCGCGCTTCTTCTTTGGGCTGAGGATTTTATTGACAGCGTCTGGCCCAACAGATTTAAGGTCTTCTCTTGGAGTACGTAGTCCAGCTTCATTGGCAGGAGAATTCTTAGCGTTCGTATCTGCAAAGTCTTGTGTCTCCGCCGCCGCCAACTTCCTCTCTAATGATTCGCGCTTTTCGCTCTCATCTTCCGCTTTCGAATCCCTCGACCGTTTCCGTCGATGGCCAACTTCATCCACACCTCGTTCCCCCGACGCACCATCATCCTCGTCATCCCGATTAACAATTTCCAGTGATCGTTTCCTCCGTAGTCTACCGCGGCCGTCCGAACTGCTCGTATCACTCACATTGTCTGCTCGGCTTACGGGTGCTGTCTGTGATGCCATAATGTGGTCCTGTGGAGAATCTGAGCGAGCCACACCAGCGATGGAGGTTTCCTTGAGTTTCTGGCGAACAGGACGCTCACCAGTGCCATCTTTTGGTTTGTCAGAGACTGGATATTTGATCTCTTCTTGTTCTGCTTCGTGGAATTTCGTACCTTCTGAGAGTTCGGCAGCATCATTATCTGAGGCGGGTTCGGTATCTCGGTTCATGGGAGCAGGTCCTTGATCCGGGTTAGAGAGTGCCTTCTCAACATTGGAATTATCTGTAGAGTTTTCATTTAGGAGCTGTTGTTGCTGTTCTTGATGTTCATGGGACTGGAAGAGGAGTATTTGCTCTTCTAATTCTGATTCCGATTCTGATTTCTCTTCTTGGGAAGGAGATGGTCCATTTGGCGTACCTTTGGAAAGGAATAGTAGGTCGTATGTTGGTGGAAGGGGGAAAGACATTATCCGTTTTGGACGCTTCGGTATTTCCAGAGTCAGATAAGGGGGCAAGGTCACTTTCTTCCGGAGATTCAGGCTGAAGTATAGGGCTCTTGTCCCGCGTACCTTGGAATGAGTCTTGAGGACGCTTATCCGTGGGTTCTGCGGTATCCGAAGCGGTTGGGCAAGGCTCAGTATCAATGGATGCCCAGGGGGGTTTGCTGGCGGTCTCACCGATCAAAACACCGTTCTGGTGGTGTGCCTCTGAGGCCATGCCTGCCTGATTTTAAATATTTTTCTCCTTCAACGTGGTAGGCTGGGGGGAGGTAGGCTGCATCTATATCCCGAGCTATTCTGCTGCTGTGCCTAGTGTCCTTGGATGGGGGTGGGTGTGGTCGTTGTTGTTGTTGTTGTTGTTGTTGTTGTTGTTGTTGTTGTTGTTGTTGTTGTTGTTGTTGTTGTTGTTGTTGTTGTTGTTGTTGTTGTTGTTGTTGTCGTCGTCGTCGTGCTGAGTCGGGCAGGATTGGGCGGTGGCACAGTTTTCGCGGTGTTTATTCGGTATGTGGGGGTAGGTATTCCAAGTGGTTGATATTCCCAACAGCGTAGTGTCTGGCTTTCTTGTATGTATAGATCTCCCACCTGAAAACAGCTTGGGCAAATATATGAGGCAGAGCAGAGCGACTGTCTCTGGAGTATTCCTTTGCTGGTTGTTCTGGTAATGGTTGTTTACCGCTGGTGGTTGTTTGTTCCCAGCGAAGTTCTAACCACTAAGTAGTTAGGTTAACTAACTAGTTATTTAACGGAGTTAAGTTAACCAGCGATTTACCCAACTAAATATAAGCCAAGCCAAGCCAGCAGCAGATTGGAATTTGAAATCCACCGATTGACCCACTCCCTGATCATAACACTCAATCAAGACACCGGAGTCGAAACGCTTGAAACAAAGAGCCCAATGGATGAACGGAGTGTATCTGGTAATCCAACACGTCAACGGAACGGACAATCTCCCTGGTTGACCTATCAAAACCTACGGTGAACCGCGGGCGGGGCTGCAAAATTGTTGGGAACAAAACTGTGCCGGTAGTTATCCTATCATAGGATTATAATAAATTCGCCATCGACCGAAGTGCCAGATGGAAGGAAGTGTTATAGACGAAGGGGGATCGCAGCACGAATGGACAATAGGAATCTAAGATATCCCTGGAGTTGACAAGCGTGGAGGAGTCTGACAGACGGGTTATTTAAAAAACTGATGATGGACAGGCAATTGGCTGTGTTAAAACTATTGTACGGCGACCATGACTGAGTACACGGCGGCTAAGTTAATAGCGAATATGCTCTGCTGAGAGAAGGGGGAGAAGATCTTCTGTCAAGGGCTCAATTACCGCCTACGATGAATCGATGGATTTTCGAGCGCCACAGCGATTGTTTTGGCGTTTTCTATCAGGTTAGATTCCAGAAATGATCAGTTCTCTAGAAATACCGAAAGAAGCTATTGCTTTCCTGCTATCCTGTGGACAGGAGAATAAGGCTTTGGGAGGCAAATCTACTCAAACTGCAACTGTCAGGGGGAAGCTTGGAGGTCCCGTACTCCGTATAACATGAGTGAAGGTGAGAGAAGATAAGGGAGTGGAGTGAGGACAGGAAGTTGTTCCAAGGTTGTTGAATTACAAGTTACCCGTTTTCCTCTTCTTCCTCTTCCATCAACCATTCAAGTCCTTTGTTAGGGGGACATTCAGTGGTTTCATATATCTAGTCATTGTGTATGTTGTGTCGACTATGTATTTTTTTTGTTGCGAGGATTCACCCATAGTCAAGATCCATGTTCATTGTCTACATTTATTCATACATCGAGTGGAAAATAGAGAAGAACTTCATCCATTTGTTGAGCTTCTGAACAGGAACATGGGACAGGCAACTACAAATAAAAAAATTAAAAAAAAAGAAAAAAAAAAAAAAAGAAAGGGGTAAAAGGCTTGTATTTAACTGATTGAACTCCAACTTAAATACCACTTCAAATATTGTACTGGAGATCTCAAAACGTCGGTGAAGGAAGGAAATGTCAGGTTATTGATGTAGAGATGAAGATAGTAAATAGCATCTCAAATGTATATAGTACAGTTCATAAAAAAGCATCTCACAGGAAAGATAACTAACGGCCAGCCAAAGGAACAATGGCATAAGAGCAGTTAAAGACGCAATGTATAAGCTCAAAGGGATAGGGGTAAACCATGGAGATAGATGAACTAGCAAAAGAAGCCAACACTGCTCACATTGTTATGGGGAAAAGATAATGATGAACCAGCATACTAAAACCGTAAAGAAGGTAGATAGAACACAGAGTAATCCCCAATTTCCTTCGAATCCCCTCGAATGGCACATAGTGTCTCCCTCACCTCACCTCACTCCATACCATCTCACCTTGATCCGGTCCATCTTCGTAGGTACTCAAAGCCAACTTCAAGGTTCCACCCACCCTAACTGATAAAACACAAGCACCCTATTCCAATATAAAATACGAACAAAGGATAGACGGCGATTAACACGCGATTCTTTACCACCCCAGAACCCCCAAGGATACTTACTCCCGCAGCCAGTGACCAGGATATCAAGACGAGGTAGACCGGGATGCGAGCTATGACGGGTAAACCAAAGGCGCTGAGGATGGAGGCAATGACGAGGGGGAAAAGTGTGTACCCGATTATGCAGACGGATTGAAAGAAGGAGCTAGTTTTGAAGGTGTCAGCACATAACTATGCAGTGATGTTTTTGGGAAAAGCTAGGCAATGAAAAAATGGGGGGAAGGGGGTTAGGGACTTACATATTCCCTCCCAGCAACTTAATTTGCATTGTCACCACCGCCTCACCAATCCACACTATGCAAAAGACGCCCGAAAAGACCAGACTCGCCTGGTCACCCTGCGCCCGCATGGACAGAAACATACTGAGCAGCAGACAGAAAATCAATGGACCCCTGAACGACACTACAAATTAGCCAACACGCATCCCATAAAACAAAATAACCAACAACCCCATCACCGGTCTACACCACATACCAAAGATCCCAATCCCTCAACCCCTCACTCATACCTGCCTGTAGCACAACTTCCGCATCCGGCCACCGTCCCACCAACCCCCTAATCCCGCCACCACGCCCATTGCCAAATGCCGTCGCCTCCCCACGCTCCGCCGCCCCTATCCCTCCCCCGCGCGTTAACATGCCACCAAGAAGATACTTGGGCCACAGCACTTGTCGCATCTTCTCCCAGACGGCTAGCAGGTCGCGTGATAGCGTTGCCCAGACGGTCTCGTCAATGGTATTTTGCGGAGCGCGCCTGTCTTCGCCCGGGATGGAGGAGGTGAGGTATGAACTGGTAATGTTGGGGCGGGCGGAGGAGGACGAGTTTGAGCCGATGTTGCCGGTTAGGAGGGCGTGGTCGGTTGTGGTAGTGTGATCGTTGCGGAGGGGGTCGTCCGCTTCGATGGCTGTCAGTGCGAGGGGGGGTTAGTATTCGGAATGTGCGGGTATATATTGATTGCATTTGCGTTGTAATGGAGTATGAAATTGAGAGTTGCGAGAAGGGATCGTCTCAGCTCCAGCAGAGACGAATGATTAAAGGTATCACAAAAAAAAAAAAAAAAAAAAAAAAAAACATACATTCATCCTCTTCTAAAAAGTCATTATCTATTACTGATTCATCGTCGTGCTCGATGACAAACGGACTTCCTGTGCTGGTGCTTCCAGTTCCTCCTCCTCCACCGCCAGAATGGCTGGCCATCATCGCTGTCAGAAACTTAGACACGCCCCGGGTTGAGCAATGAAGCTCTATAGCATTCCCCTTTGCCTCCCTCGCAGAATGATCAAGGTTATGTCGAAGCTAGGACGTGGAAAGCTTTCCGTTGTTACGGTCTTATGAAAATCGTATACGGATTAGCGAGAAGCTTATTATCAATTAGCCCAATGTACGATCTTCGGGAACAATCGACTGTAAGATATTGAGGCTGGGTGAGAAGCGTTTTGTTGTAGCGTTTGAAGTTGCCTTGGTCGAACATGATGGGATGTCACGTGATAATGTCGATATCAGACGGGAGTCGTTGGTGAACCATGTAGAGATATATAAATCTATCGAACTGAAAGAGACATGGGCCGGTAAGTATATAGAAACAATGAAATTAGCATGTTATTTCAAATACAGCAGAAGAACAACTAAAAGCATTTAAAATCAATTATGCCCAGTTCTTATACCTAATCCCATCTCCTCCATTAACAAATCAAGCCAACCCTATACTCCCTACCCCTTTGACTCCAGAATATAAAGAATTAAAAGACACAATCCCGTACCCCATGAAAGATGGACATTGGTGTAGCGTAGTATATAAAACATCATTAGAACAAAAAGGCAAAAAAAAAGGACCACTCCTTACAAATCCACAACCACAACCATCTCCATCACCCGATCAACCAACAATTGCCCCTCCCCCTTCCACCGCCCATCCTGCCAAATATCCCACATCCAAAACCTCAATCGCGTCCTCCAATCCACCCCATCAAGCTGCAAATTCCAATTCCCATCCCGCGAACCAGATGCACCGCCTGGATACCCAGGATACCCAGAAAAATACAGTGCACTACCAGGTCCACTACCGCTGCGGCCTGAGTAACCATACAATTTTGCTAGGGCATCACTTGGCAAGGTGCCCGGGGCAGCTGAAGTGGGGGAAGAGGAATTGAGTAGACCTTGCCGTAGGCGCCACTGGCGCTCTGCCCGTTCGCCCGCACGCCGTGCGACGGCTTCTTCATCTTCGGTAAGGTAGAGGTCGCATTTGTTACATTCGGTACAGCGGGAGCCTGGGTTGAGGCGAAAATGTTCGCAGAAATGTTTGTAGCCTTCCGGTTCTTCGTCTTCGGCCGGTACAGCGTTGTTGGCAATATTGACGTCATCGTCTGAATAATCGTTTTCGTTGTCATCTGGTATGTTCCCTAAATTGCCGTCTAGTCCAGGGTCGCCAAGGGGGGCGTTCTCTATATTGTTGTTATCCAGGTCACGGGCAGGCCACCGATGTCGAGCTCTTGCTGGTTGTTGGCGGGCAGGTGGAATATAGTTGGCGCCGGCGATTCGAAGGGGCGGGCCAAGAGCTTTGCGGCATATATAGCACATCGCGTACCCGCACACACAGGTGAGTTTGTTGCAGCCGGATGATTTGACAAAAGAGAGACCACAACGTGGGCAGGTGCGCTTAATTGCGGCCGTACGGGCGGCTTCGACAGTTGTTCGCAGAGAATGGAGGAGAGGCTCATGACACTGGTGAGGATCCTGCCATGGCTTGTGGCAGTTAATACAGCTATCGGAGCGGCAGGATGGGTTTGAACAGGTAAATCGCTGTGCGCGGGTTTTGAGGCAGATGTTTTGTAGTGAAGTAGATAAGATAGTGGAAATAATTGACGGGGAAAATACGAGATAATAAACAAACGGAAGAATAAGAATGGGTATCAAGTCGAGCAGGAATATTATCGTAAAAATTGTCGGGAAGAGATTCCCACGTCGGAAACGCCATCTAAACCCTTTCCCCGTTGGATGGTAAACGGGATCAACCTCGGCATACGAACACAGCGGGCAACGTATCAATTTCAGTTGAGATTTCAAAAGGGATTCCGAAGCCAGGCGATCTTCAAATTTCTGATAGGTTTCTGCCCCAGCTTTTTCGGCTAAAATCGCTCTTTTCACAATCATCGGGTCTAGGGCGCCCTCACACGTGCCCTCTGACACCGGTGCCAGACAGCGTAATGTTGATTTTTCATGGAAAATGGATCTCCCCCACCCCTGGCCGAAAAGGGCCTCATGAGTGGTTCGCTGGATGCAGTTGAAACAGATAATGTGAAAGTTGACAGGGCAGGTTGCTATTTGCTCGAAAGTAACGTCTGAAAGGCAACAAGCGCATTCATACAGAGCTTCCCCAGCCTTTGCCTCAGCTTGGTTAAGCTCTTCCGCCAGCTGTAGGCTCTTATCCTCCTGGTCCTGTTTTCTTTGAGCCAGCTTTGGAGCCAAAAATGTATTGTACAATTCCCTATCTAGTTCCAAACATCCCGTTTCTTTCAACCCGGGGACAAGTTCCCCATCCGGCAACCTTTGCCAAATCAGGAGCGGATGCTCATCTTTATCTTTCTTCCTCTTGAACGGAAAGATGCTACCAAATGTCACCCGCCAGCTTCTGCGGGACAGTTCTTGTAACGTTGGGCGGGATCGTGTGTATGAGAAGTTAACCTCCGCCAGCACAGCGTCGATGGTACTTCTACTCAACACGCGGAATTCCTGAGAAAGCGTCGCCTTAACCGCAGCTTTGTATTCTTCGCCCTGAAAAAGCTCTTCGTGTGGGATCCATCTTGTCCTTCTCCCCAGAGCATCCCCATTTCCGTTAACTGCAATAGCGCCTCGGCCTGTTTCCTCTGTTCCAGCACCAGGACCAGCTTTAGCATCCTGTTCCGGAACATTCCACCTCCCTTTCACCCACTCAGCCCTATGTCTCAGCAGCTGCTCCACACACACGTGCAACCTGCTGTTGCCATCAAATCTAACCAGCAACTCCCGAAAAACCTCAATCTTCACGTCGGGAAAAAGCTGTGAAAGCGAAGCCAGCGCATCGTTGAGCTCTCGGCGATCATGCTCCTGTTTTTCTCCAATATTTTCGCTGGTAGCGGAGTCGCTAGGTGATTTTGTTCGGGTCGCTAGGCTGAACGGGTTAACATGTAGTGTTTCAGCGATGGAGGAGGCAGGGCTTGCGGAAGCGGATGCTGGTGTTTCTTTAGGCGTTGGTGACGAAGATTGAGCCTGAGGGGAGGATGAACACGAAGATGAGGAGGATGAGAATTTCGATGAAGGAGAATCATTTGATGGAGACGGTGTACTTTTGCTCTGGGTAGGGGAGGTTCGGGAAGAAAACCTTGGGAGAGCCAGGGAGAGCACCATGATTGCGGGATAGCTACATGATTTGAAGGATAGAGGGAACGAAACAGTTTTTGAAAGGAGCTTTGAGGAGCTTTTCCTGTTATTATTATTATTATTATTATTATTATTGTTGTTGTTGTTGTTGTTGTTGTTGTTGTTGTTGTTGTTGTTGTTGTTGTTGTTGTTGTTGTTGTTGTCGTCGTCGTCGTCGTCGTCGTCGTCGTCGTCGTTGTTCGTGTACTGATATCAGTAATTTAATTTCCAGCTGGATTTTTACGGCAGCCTATAGTGACATTTGGGTCAAATGGGTTTTTTTGATGGTTTTTATACTAGTGTTACCATGAACACGCACCAATCATATTCATTTAATTTGTAATCAAATAGAGCTTGTTGATTATAGCTCCTCTGTGTAAGAAAATTTTGTGATCAAGGCACACTAACTCAATTGATTACATGAGTGACAAGAATAGGGGTGAGAATAGGGGTAAGAATAGGGGTAAGAATAGGGGCAAGAATAGATCTGTGAGAAATAAGACTTATTATGAGAATAATAGCTAGCAAAATAATTCTTCACATTAGTATCAATCTTTACAGCGCATACTAAAATCTATCAAACATTCTACTAATCACCCTCAACTCTGAGGTCAAAAGAATCTATCAATCATTCTATCAATCACTCTCGACGCTGATGCCGAAATCTTGTCCCATTTGCAGGTGGGTCAAGATAGTTTGATTGTGTTTCAATTTCATCAGAATGACTCTTTTCCATCTCTGTCACAGTGTTTTCCATCTCCTTCTTTATATTTTCCTCCTCTGTCTCTGATTCCAGCTTCTCCCACTTGAACAATAGATCCTTTTCAAGCTTCATTGTCTTCAATTCATTAACTTTGTCTTCAGATTTTGTAGGGATTGGGGACGGCCGTCTTCGTTTGATAAGATTTAGAATGGGTAAATCGACTGAGAAAGCACGTTCGCGTTTGATCACTGATATGGAGGTATTCTCTTCTTTGACTTTGATATCTGGTGATTTGACTTTGATATTCTTCAGTTCCGACGGTTGTTCAATGGGGTGATTGGACTCATCATAGGTAACAAGACAAATGTGAATAATTGTAGTTGTTGAGGTTGATGAGTGCACTTTCTTAAATGAACTCAATAACTTTTCCAAATCCAACATCCAAACATCAGGAGTGAGCATAACTGCACCATCCTTTCCTGTAACTGAGGCGGAATGAATACATCAACTGGAGAAACAACTGTAAGAATATTCTTTCAGGCTG